TGGACGATTATTTGGATTCATTCGAGAACGTTACCCAAGCATTAAAACTAGTCGCGATTTGGTTTCCTTACTAAAATTGGGAGGATTTAATTTGACTAAATTTGTCAGTAATGCTGATGAAATCACTTCAGCAATGAACCCCGAGGAATCCGAAACCTCATCTTCACCCATCAAGGAAATATGTAACGGTGCCGAACAATCATCACACGTCTTAGATCTTAAGTGGGACCATGTGAAAGACACATTGGTTGTTAGCAGAGGCGTGGATCGTCCTCTCGATAAAGCAATAACTCAACGAACCGTCTTGAGTTTCGTCTCTTCTGTGTTTGACCCTGTTGGGTTAGTAGCTCCATACACAGTTAGGGCCCGTCTTTTACTGAAAGATATTTGGAAAATCAGTGGTCAAAGTTGGGACGACGAATTGCCAGAAGACATAAGAGATAAGTTTCTCGAGTGGCACTCCGGTCTCCATCTCTTAGGGCAATTGACTATTCCCCGTTGTTACTTCACAGAGCCTGTTGATCAAATTGAGCTCCACATGTTCAATGATAGCTCGCAGGACGTTTTCTGTGCTGTTGGATTTTTGCGTGCGCGACTCGCGAGCTCGCATAAAACTCAAATATCCTTCATCTTTGGTAAAGCTCGCGTTGCGCCCATGAAGGCGCTATCTATACCGAAGCTAGAGCTTCAAGCTGCTCTGCTCGCCCCACGACTAAAAGATGATATACTGGCCGCCCTTACCGTCTCTATTAATCATGTCTTTATGTGGACAGATAGTACAACAGTTTTGCAGTGGCTAAACTCCACTGAAAAATTACCTGTATTCGTCGCTAATCAGGTCGGCGAAATCCTCGAGTCGACCACTATTGATGAGTGGCACCATGTTCTGAGCGGCGATAATCCAGCTGATACCGGTACGAGGGGGGGATTTCTTCGGAAGCCCTCAAGGATAGCAGCTGGGTTATTGGTCCGAGCATTCTCAGGACTACTGATTGGCCGTTTATACCCGACGAACGTGTAATCAACAAAATTCGTTTGAAGGGTCCTTCTTGTGATGTTGATAATTGCTTGGAGACATCATCATCCTTCGTCACCGATGTCACATCAATCAAACATCCCGAACACGGGTTCAATTGGGAAAGGTTCAGTTCCTTTACAAGATATAAACGAGTAGTCGCTTTTATGTTGAGGATGTTGCCTTCACATAAGCATTTTCGTGGTAAGGACTTACGAATCACCGACCCCACTGAACTTGATATTGTAGAAAGCAAACTGATTCATCTTGCTCAGATGGAATCCTTTCCCGTTGAGTTAAAAACACTCACCGCTGGCAAACCTATTAAGAATATTAGTAAAATTGCCACATACTCGCCATTTATCGGTCCCGCTGGAATCATTCGTTCCACCGGACGGATTGTGCGCTTAGTGAATACCGAGTTTGATACTAAGCACCCAATAATACTCGACGCCCGACATACCTTAGTTCGTTTGTTGGCCCGCAGCCTCCACCATGAGCATTTTCATCAAGGATTAGATTACATGCGCTCCGTTTTAAATATGAAATATGCAATACTTGGGTTGCGTCGACTACTGCGGTCTATCGAAAATCGATGTGTAACATGCCGTAAACGCAAAACAAGCACCATCCAGCCAATTATGTCCGATTTACCGGTCGAACGTCTCGGATACAAGCAACCACCCTTCAATCATACGGGTGTGGATTACTTTGGACCGCTTTACGTTCCGGTTCGCAGAAGCACGGAAAAAAGATGGGGATTCCTTTTTACTTGCCTCACCACCAGGGCTGTACACCTTGAGATTGTACCATCTCTGGACACCAGTTCGTGTGTCATGGGCATTGAACGGTTCGTTGCGCGCCGTGGTACGCCAAGTACAATCTGGTCGGATAATGGCACGAAATTCGTTGGCGCGGAAAAGGAATTACTTTCCTGCATCAAGAGCTGGAATGGCATGGCTCCGACCATTTTTGCACATAAAGGTGTTACTTGGAAATTTAACCCGCCAGGCGCACCCCATCATGGCGGCTCCTGGGAACGCCTCGTCCGAAGCGTGAAGCGCGTGCTGTACGATATCCTAGGCAGTAGGCGAGTCACTGAAGAGGTGTTAGGAACAACACTCTGCTTAGTTGAACAGGCTTTGAATTCGAGGCCAATCACTCCCGTTAGTACCGATTCACGTGAGTTAGAAGCGTTAACCCCAAACCATTTTTTGCTTGGACAACATGCCACAAGCTTTCCTTCGCTTTTACCCGGGGAGCACTTCGATCACAAGAAAAGGTACGTGCGAGCGCAGTCATATGCTAACGCGATTTGGTCTCGTTGGCTTCGAGAATATGTTCCCTCGCTGAATAAGCGTGTCAAGTGGCACACTCATTCTGACTTCACTCTTAAAACAGGCGATCTCGTGTGGGTGATTGAGCCCGATAGTCCGCGTGGGTACTACCCTCTCGCCCGAATCGTCAAGCTAAACTACGGACAGGACGGTTGCGCCCGATCCGCCCTTGTCAGGACCGCAACCCGTGAAGTCACGCGGCCGACCGTTAAGCTCGCTCCGGTTCTTCCTTCTTCAGGGGGGGAGGATGTTGCAATGCAAATGTAGAATAAAACAAGAGTATAGATGCATATAAAATAAGCACAGTTGGCCAAGCGGACTAAGACAAAGTAAGCTAACGCCGATTATATGTGTGAAATAACAGTTGACGTAGGTTCGAGTCCCCCACCTGCCCATGTATTAATATACTAAAAACGGGGGTTACATCCTATTTTAACTGTTTTTTGGTTCTAATTCGGTTCAGCCTTGATTAAGGTTGACCGCCAAAAAGAGCAATTTGTCTCAAGGACATTACCGACCGGTTCTTGTGGCTAGCTTGCGCCGATTTTTACCAAAAACTGACAGAGGCTAAAAATGTTGTATGATGTCCTGATCAATAGAAAAACACCGAATTTATCTATTGCCTGAGTTATTTACCGATATATATCTCTTATTAATTTACGAATTCGGATTCACTTATTTTCGTTTGGAGATTAGAGCGGCCACACCTAGCCCCAACACTTTGAGAAAACAGTCGGTCACTTTACTTATAATTGGAGACAAATTTATCCATTGGGAAAGAAGCCACAAGGGAGATATGACTGTTAAGTGGTTACGTGGAATTAGTGGGATGAATTAGAGTGGAACTAGGCAAACAAGAGGAAAATATCCTTGCTAGCCATAGGAGAATAGTATAAAATACGGTAAATTTAAAATAAAGTCCTTGGAAAGATTGCTCAAAAAACTCGGCTTAGATAAGAGATTAGTCGAACTTGATGTTAGATCAAATTAGTTAGAGACACATCAAACGAATTTGGAGTTTAGTAATAGCGTTGTCGGTGGAAGAAATCAGTTACTAACTAGAGTAAGAGGTACTAAAGTTTTTGTCAAGACTTTTAGGGACGATCTTAATTCTAACTGTTACTAAAACTCTAAAAAAAACAGAATAAAAATCCCAACAAACAGCCTACCACTGGCAGAACAATTGTTAGTAGGTAACGAGATAGTCGAAGAACAGAGTTAGAGAACAATTGTTACTGAGTCGGAGGATAAATATTTGTTAGAGGAACAAGTCACGCTAAGACCGCAACCAGTTGGTTCTCGTAGTCAGCGAACATTTTTGCGTACGAAATCATAAAAAATACATCCAAGGAGCAACCCCTACATCCAAGGAGTAATTCACTAGAGTTACAGAGCGTAATTGGAAAGTTATGATTCTCAAGAGAGGGAGAATTGTTCATTTGAAGTGCATGGAAAATGATTTTTGTTTAGGCAATTGTGTTGATAAACTGCGGACCCTTTACTTTGATAAAATTAGTTGAATAATCTCCGACCATTCTTTTTTTTTGTCTACAGTAATCTCCGAAGTCTACATTTTTAGGTCAAAACCTGTTGGTTCTTCTTTTTCAAAGGTTATCGAATGTATTTCGAATCGATCTAATTTAGAAAAATAAAAATGTAATTTACAAAAAGAGTAACTACCGTTTTTTAAAAGTAACTTTTGTGATACATTTTCGCTCAACTACTACTATCCGTAGAAAAATGTGTGAAAAATATGTTAGCGTCAGTTCTTAAGATAAAATTTTGGAAAATTCAGAAATTACATATTTTTGAACAGAAGATAACTAGTTGCAGTGCAAGTAGCACAGAATATTGCGATAACACTCTTACAGGAAAAAAAAACAAATTCCTTCTTAAAAAAAAACACTCTGTTTGTCCGTGTTCTAATCAGAGATTCGAATCAGAGTGTTCTAACACATGTTCGAAAAATGAAAACCAAGAAAAAATGGGAGAAAAAAAAACGAAATATCTATTCTAACTTTTTAAAAGGTTTTTCCAAAGCAATATATTTTCAGCTTCCAAAATCAGTTTTTTGCTTTGCAAAATTTCTCATTGATAGCCGAAACTACCTTTTTTCATAACTTGACCGTTTCTCTAATCAATTGAGTTTCTAGCTCGAAATTTGACTTTAAGTCAAGTTTGCAAACTGATTTTTTTTAACCACTTACTCTAATGGTTTTAAATTTCGTTCAAATTGCATCTGAATGGATTTTTGCATAATCACGTTTAACCTTTGAAACTTTTTTGTACTTTCGTCAAATTAGTGTTGTTTGCAGTGTTCGGTGTGAGTAGAGAACATTATGATTTTGCAGAAAACTAGTGAATATGACGTTATCTTACCTGATTTTGCAATATTGCCGGTAAAAAACGAAACTTAAATTTCACGCGATTTTCAATGGCCGGAACAATAATTATAGATTACTAAAAACACACGAAGACAACTTTTTTTCCATTTTCAGAGGTCTGAGCTAAATGTGTTTTTAGACCAGCAATCAATATCCAGAAAATTGCCCGTCGGTTTAGCTTTGCGCATCGAGCTATCTAAAAGTTGACGTAAAAACCCCTATAATTGCTGAGTACTTGTTATTGCATCAATCAGAAAAAAATCATATCGACCATGTTTGAAATGATCATAATTTTTATAATATTATGAGTCACGAGAAGCAAATAATTTGATTAATTTATGTCTAACTGATTTAATTATGTTTCTGATAAGAGTTTTCGAGTTTAATTTTTTCTGTGTTTTTTATTAACTGTCGTTCGGATTGTTTCGTCTGATCTCGCCTTGCAAATAATTTGTCGTCTGTTGTATTCCGGGCAGCTCTCGAGCCAACCGAGACAACATCTCCCTCAGTTTTGCATTTTCAGCCGAGAGGTCAGCTACCTCTTTCTTATAATTCTCTTCACTCTCACACCAGTCTGCCTCTCGTCTGGTTAAGTCTTCGATTAAATAGTGACCATCTGCTTCCCTTTCGGCTAGCTGAACACAAAACATCCGAACTGAGAAAACATTTTGAAACAAACATTTTTTTGGTTCCACACCCGGGTCGAGGTACGCGGCTTGAGTCGCGACCGAAAGACGGACGCTTTAAGCGGAAATTGCGTGATCAAATTTGACAGTCGCACAACGATTTTTGAGTCGCGCAAAGTCAACAAAAACTGCTGTTAAATTCGCCTGTTTTACTATGAATGTCAAGTATGCCTAAGTTCGAGCCTTTTGTTCAGATCCATTTATCACACCACGCTCAAAAAACTACACCAAATTGAAAAAAAAAGTAATTTTTGTATTTTTGTTTGAAGAATATGGTCGGAACATTATTTGCAACTTGCACAGCAACCAGCTGTACTTGTTATATTCTGGGTTCTGGGTTTTTCGAGATAGCTTGTCTAGCTAAAGCGGGTAAAACATACTTCGAATTTGATCTTTTTTAAGTATTCAAGAGAAAACCGCTTTCGTTTTGTTCTAAAAAAACTCCCCTGGTCGATGCTTGTCGTTTACGTTTTGACCGATGCAAACTCTAGCCACTGTTCGAATTAAATCGAGAAATTCCTTTAGCTGAATTCAAAGTCTTAATTAAATACCGATCAATTTCGAAATTAAGAATGAAGACAAACTCCAAACAAACCGATCATACGACAATCGAAACATTTAGTTCACTAACACAAGGTTCAACAACACAAAGACGAAAATCGTCGAATGGACAAGGTATTGCTAATTTTTTGCTTGTCAATCAACGTTTCAGAGGTTTGAGACCCACTTTGATCCGCTATTGTTGCTTGAGAGTCGTAGGCAACACTACCCAGCCGAAAAAATTCACCAAAAAATTTGCATTTAGTTCCTAAACAGGAGCCCAACAGTGGCTCTCCGTAAATAGCTTAACAGATCATACCTTGGATCTTTCACTTTTGATAAATGTACCCGCACCCAGTTTGAAGCGTTAATAATCGATTATAATATGGTTTTACTACCAGTACTAACGAGAAAAATTGATTTTGATCAATTAATAATCGATTATAATCTCTCTTTTTGAAATCAAATTAAAATCAATAAAAATATATTTTAATTGACTATAATCAATTTTAATCCATCTTTTTTTCGAAATGATTTTAATCGATTATCATTGAATTTTTTCAGCCCAATTTCCAATTCAAGCCTTTTGCACAAAAAAAAACTATTTTAATTAATTATAATCGATTATCATTCTTTTTTGCGCATTTTGTCTTCGAACTAACATCCGAATCACTTTAATTTATGCTTCTTGTAGACATTGTTTTATGTGAATTATGCGGAAATTGTTTTACATTTTTCATATCAATTCAATTTTTCGACCCACAACATGCTTCAGTTTCTTGATTCGTTTGGAAGCGTTATTTGCACCTCCGCAGGATTCTTTCAACTAATAAGATGTTATCTATATGAAACTTTTATTTCTTGGTAAAAGCAATCCTTCTTTCGAAATATTGTCACACCAAAAGTTTATTTTAACTTATATCTGAACATAGAATAAGGGATTGTATACTATCATAAGAGATTATAATAAAATATAAGAGATTATAAGAGATTTTTCAAAAAATCATAATCAAAAGTCACTAAAATTGTTATCATTGTTATAGATTAATTATCATTTAATTATCTAAATTTGGCGTTGTTAATTAACTATAGTTTTTTCTATATATATTATATATTTTTCTATATTAATTATTTTCTCTTTTTACTGAGTGCGAGTGATTTCATAGTCAAAACACATTCAAGCTCAAGAAATTTCTTTGAATAATCCTAGACGAAACCCGGAGAACCGATGCTTAATTAAAAAAAAAACGATATTTTAATACCTTTGCAAGGACGTCTTAAGAGCAAAGCGGTTGTATAAAAAACCCGAGCCTAATCAGTTTTCTTGTATACTGTCATCAAAAACACCTGATGTTTTAGTTTTTGAACGCATATATTACACAAAGAGTTCTTATCACATCCGAGAATCAACGCCTTATGATAAAAATGATATTGGAAATTCTTTCACGAAACTAATGAAGACTTTTTTATATATCAGAGATAATGAAACGATAGAGCAAGATCGCTGATAATTTGAGCTCTTTTTTTAAATCAGTTAACTGTTGTTTATTTTTCGATTTTCAATGGTCGAAGTACATGTCCTGGGTCAAACACAGTCGAATGAAAAATGTCAGTCAAATAAAGACCCCGCGATGACCAAAAACACAAGTCATACAGTTTTCATACATGGAAAAACGCGAACCGTACACTTTCATGTAAACGCGAACCGTACACATTCATGTAAGGCCTATGATTAGTGATTTTTCATATAAGGGAACTGCATGACGATTCACCGACTTTAATGCCAAAACAAGAAAAAAAATTTTTGTGAAAATTCGATGATCCCGTTTTAGCAAAATGTATAAAATTTGTATGACTAGTATTTGTTCATAGACTCATAGACTAAGCTTATAGAATTGTATGTTTAGCGTTTTTGTTTTATGGCTGTCTACCCGGAGGGACAAAATGTTCAAAACCTACAACAAGAACCCTAAACTCGCTAAGAATGGACAATGAAGAGATCTTCTGGCTTCAAAAAGAGTTAAGAACATTAATTGGCTACTAGAACATATATTAATAATTGAACGAAAGGTGGAAGTCTATTTTCATACCTGGACTTGCAACTGCACGTTTGCCGTCTGCAGTGACAAAATAATTTCCTCGTGCTCAGTACAATTGGCTGCTTTTTGCTTCATATCCTTCGTTTTCTGAACCGATTCCAGCTCAGCTTGAAACTTTTTCCTCTCTTTTTCCAATCTTTCTTCCAGTTCTTTAACCTTCTGGCGTAAATTTGATAATTCTTCTGACTCGCGTTTTCGTGATAATTCGGCTGCGCCATCGTGTGTTTTGGGTTCATTAGAGCTCACATATTTAGTCGTGGCCTTAACAACTGTGTTGTTTTTAGCTGCTCGCAACGTGTCCAAACGTTTGTTCAAAGTCTTAACCTCCGCCTCCAGAAATTTTACCCTTTCTTCTAGAAAGTTCCTATCGAAAGATTCTGCTTTTGATTGCCTTCTAGGAGCTGGGTTAGACATCATTTAAGGTGAAGAATTAAAAGAATTAAATTTCAAAACTGAAGTTATTACTATCAGCCTATGAGACACCAAATTTAAGAAACCTGATCAAGAATAAAAAACTACATATGAGTTTCTTTGTTAAATATTTTTGTCAGGAGTGTTTTGTTCAATTTTGAAAAATATGTTTTTTCTGCATTCAAAAAGATAATCTGATGATGCACAACTCTTTGCTGTTTCAGTTTTTATTGAATGAATATTACATGGTTTGAATCCGACCATATGATTTTTTAAAAATAATAATTGAGTATATGCTACAGAACCTGGTGAATTTATATATAAACTGAACCATATTTGGTATATGATAGAGACTTCTTGTGGCTGCTTTACTTGATCGAGATCCAATGCATGCAGGTCTATCCGGTTATACCTCGGTTATACGCTTAATTGATAAAAGAATCGAAATAAAAAATTGATTAAAAAAATTGGGTTAATTTTCATTAAGAAGCATAATAATTATAGGAGGAGGCCAGCCTGAGGCCAACGAGTTCTCATCTAAAACAGCCTTAAACTTGCTCTTTTAATCAGGGGTGAATTTAGGATTTTCTCGAGGGGGGAGCGGACTTTCTAAAAAAATCTAAATTTTTTTTGACCTTTTCTTGTTAATCAGGTCGACCAAATTGATTTTCCGAGCTCTCCCAAACCAATATAAAGACGCTAATTTTACCAAAATTTCTAATTTTACCAAATTTTGACCAAAATATTGTGTTTTTTTTTGGCTCACGCTCCCCCCTCAAAACTAGTATAGATTGGCGCCAAAGTTGCCTTTAGAAAAATTTTAGCGTCCGTCAGCCGAAATTGGTTGTCTCAAAATAGTACCAAGGGGGACCCTTAGGGTCGGGAGGGGTCGCATACCTGAGAAAGGGCTCCCCCTCCCCTAAATCCGCTCCTGCTTTTCATCCATTTTTTTAAAATCATTTTTCTCACACAATTTTTTTGTGAACAAAAAGTATGAACCAATTTAGTTCTGCGATGAGTGTACTTCGTTTTTTTTCCAGGTTGGTACGTTTCTCTACGTATTGTTTGCGGTAACAGGGTCAAAAAACTTCTTTTTAACATTTAAAAGTTTTGAGCTGCGACCTGAAACCGCTGAAAGGTTCATAGTTTGAAAGGAAACTTGCAACCTATTAGATGTTAGATTAAATGAGAGGCGCATGATGATAAGGTGTTCACTTAGAGATCGTTCGATCCCCTATTTGGGAGTTTGATTTCCTGCCATGGCAATGATAGTTTATGAGGACGAGCTCTCATCTGATCTCTAGCTTCAGGTCTTGCATCGTTTTTGGATTCAGGCAAAGAAATTCGCGGAAAATGTGGATTCAGAACAAAATTGCATAGTCGCTTTTTTCAGTCACGATTTGTCACGATTTGAGTCTGGAAATAATTTCAAGATCTCATCATAGGTGGTCTTAGACACTTGGCAGAAAAGAAAGTAACAAAAGTTTGAGCTAATCGAAACGCCATAGATGTTGTTGAAAAGGTATTTATGTTTCATTACAATTGAAACAATTAAAAACTGCATTGAATTCGGATCTCAATTCTTTTCATCAATTTTTTACCGCCAATTTGCTCTGCCGTAATAGCCTGATTTACGTTAACAGGAACAAAATCAAACAATTAAATTCCGAAACTTCACAGCCCGTTTTGTTCATGAATCGGATAGCGTTTTAAAATGATGGCTCTCTCAGGACGACTGCCGACCCAAAAGGTCTCACCTTTGGTACCTTTTAAGAAATCCATTTTGATTCATAAATGGAAATACTAAGTATTTTTGTTTTGAACTTTTGTGTTTCATCCGATACATTAACCAAGGCTTTTTGTCATAAGAAACCCAAAGTGTAACTGGAAGTTACCATGCAGATAGACTGCGTTTGGTGATTTTAGCCATGTAAGTTAGTTTGAACATTTTCACATGGAATTATAAACCAAAAATGTAACTTTTTGTATATGACTAGATAATTTTTAGTTTGAAAATTTAGATGGTTGAGAAGAAGAGAAGTTTTTTCAGATTTATCTTTATCTTAGCATATGAAACGAAAAATCATAATCGTGGTTGAAAAACTCTACATGGACTACGTTATGAAGACAAAAATTCAAATTGTGCTTGAAATTTTTTCCGCTAAAATATGTTTTTGAGCCCAAATGCATATTTGCAAACAAAAAAGAGATTTAAAATTTTTTACCTCAAACTTGTGTTTTTTTTTCTATGAAAAATGCATATCATACAATTTTCATATATGAAAACTTTATGATAAGCGTTTTTTCCAGCCGAAACTGAAACTATCTTTCTAACTGTAAGTTGATCTCAATCACTGAAAACGTTTATTAAACTCATTTAAAATTGCCCAAACAAAGAATCAATTGATTTTTAGCTTTCTAGTTTTTCTCTAAAAATGCGTATCGTAAACTTTCATATATGAAAGTTAAATGATAAGAATTTTTTCAAACAAAACATTTTTTGGATAATTAAACTGCTCTTTGTTATTGAAAGCTTTCATTCGTTTCATTTTTTTTTACCGAAACATGTTTTTAGAGAGATTTTTAAGAAGAAAAGTTCTATAACAGAATGCTCATCGTACAATTTTCATCGATGAAAACTGTATGATAAGCATTTTTTTATCCAGTTTTTTTCATCATTTTTTACATGACCAGAAAGCTTCAAATGAGCCAAATAGAATAAAAATTTGTATTGAAAAATTTTAAAATTTTTTTAAATTTTTGTACAAATTGTATGATAAACATTTTTTCTATAGACGCCGTATATGAAATTGTATGACAAGGGCTTACCTTCTATGGACGTCAACTCGGGTATTGCGCGAGCGAAATTTCGCAATAGTTTAGAGGTTTTGGAGGACACTAGAGTACGTGCCTGCTATTCTACCCACAATCTCAAATGGATGACTGTAACCCACATTTTATCCATTCACTTGATGTATCGATTTGTATGATAATGATTTTTGTTGTATGAAATTGTTTGATAAGCATTTTCGGTGTATGGAGGTCAACTCGGGAAGAAGAACACAGTAAAACGAAGAAAACAATTGAATAAGGTTGATCAACACACTTCGCCCAAATCATACAAAAACCCATGAGCTACTACCACGCGGACATGGAAGCCTAAAATTACAAAAGCAGAGCACAAAAAGACAAATGAGAACAAAATAACCAAAATCATGCCACGCAAAAGACCAAACTTGTGCAAAATGTGTATAAGGGTGACATTTTGCGATGATATGAAGACCAACAATTGTTAAAAACATGCAACAGCAAGACGAGCAAAATCAAAAGAAAAATAGGAAACTGAAATGAACAATATTGGTTCAAAATCGTACGCTAAGCTAATGAGCTACTACTGCTCATGTATGACAATGAACGTCATGAAGACAAAGAAAAATCATAATCGTGGTTGAAAAACTCTACATGGACTACGTTATGAAGACAAAAATTCAAATTGTGCTTGAAATTTTTTCCGCTAAAATATGTTTTTGAGCTCAAATGCATATTTGCAAACAAAAAAGAGATTTAAAATTTTTTACCTCAAACTTGTGTTTTTTTTTCTATGAAAAATGCATATCATACAATTTTCATATATGAAAACTTTATGATAAGCGTTTTTTCCAGCCGAAACTGAAACTATCTTTCTAACTGTAAGTTGATCTCAATCACTGAAAACGTTTATTAAACTCATTTAAAATTGCCCAAACAAAGAATCAATTGATTTTTAGCTTTCTAGTTTTTCTCTAAAAATGCGTATCGTAAACTTTCATATATGAAAGTTAAATGATAAGAATTTTTTCAAACAAAACATTTTTTGGATAATTAAACTGCTCTTTGTTATTGAAAGCTTTCATTCGTTTCATTTTTTTTTTACCGAAACATGTTTTTAGAGAGATTTTTAAGAAGAAAAGTTCTATAACAGAATGCTCATCGTACAATTTTCATCGATGAAAACTGTATGATAAGCATTTTTTTATCCAGTTTTTTTCATTATTTTTTACATGACCAGAAAGCTTCAAATGAGCCAAATAGAATAAAAATTTGTATTGAAAAATTTTAAAATTTTTTTAAATTTTTGTACAAATTGTATGATAAACATTTTTTCTATAGACGCCGTATATGAAATTGTATGACAAGGGCTTACCTTCTATGGACGTCAACTCGGGTATTGCGCGAGCGAAATTTCGCAATAGTTTAGAGGTTTTGGAGGACACTAGAGTACGTGCCTGCTATTCTACCCACAATCTCAAATGGATGACTGTAACCCCCATTTTATCCATTCACTTGATGTATCGATTTGTATGATAATGATTTTTGTTGTATGAAATTGTTTGATAAGCATTTTCGGTGTATGGAGGTCAACTCGGGAAGAAGAATACAGTAAAACGAAGAAAACAATTGAATAAGGTTGATCAACACACTTCGCCCAAATCATACAAAAACCCATGAGCTACTACCACGCGGACATGGAAGCCTAAAATTACAAAAGCAGAGCACAAAAAGACAAATGAGAACAAAATAACCAAAATCATGCCACGCAAAAGACCAAACTTGTGCAAAATGTGTATAAGGGTGACATTTTGCGATGATATGAAGACCAACAATTGTTAAAAACATGCAACAGCAAGACGAGCAAAATCAAAAGAAAAATAGGAAACTGAAATGAACAATATTGGTTCAAAATCGTACGCTAAGCTAATGAGCTACTACTGCTCATGTATGACAATGAACGTCATGAAGACAAAGAGAGACATCATTTAAAAACGCTACAAACCTTTTTGGATAATTAAACTGCTCTTTGTTATTGAAAGCTTTCATTCGTTTCATTTTTATTTACCGAAACACGTTTTTAGAGAGATTTTTGAGAAGAAAAGTTCTATAACAGAATGCTCATCGTACAATTTTCATCCATGAAAACTGTATGATAAGCATTTTTTTATCCAGTTTTTCTCATCATTTTTTACATGACCAGAAAGCATCAAATGAGCCAAATAGAATAAAAATTTGTATTGAAAAATTTTAAAACTTTTTTAATTTTTTTTACGAAAATTGTATGATAAACATTTTTTCTATAGACGCCGTATATGAAATTGTATGGCAAGAGTTTACCTTCTATGGACGTCAACTCGGGTATTGCGCGAGCGAAACTTCGCAAAAGCTTAGAGGTTTTCGA